AGGCTGACAACAGCCCTATTATACTGAGAAAGGTGTCTTCCTGATAGCATCACGACAACAATAATAAAGTACATATCTCAACTTCGTTGAAGGTTACAACAAATCTGGTTTTAATTGGGACCAAAGTCGCCTTACTGGGACCTCCATGTAGTCGAGGTTTGGAGTGAGATACAATCGTCCACACTATTGATTGTATTGTACATGAGGGCAACAGCTGGGTGGCGTAGATGTAGCGTGTACAGCGGGTCGCACAGCCACATACATCACACCTACAACAGGTACTTGCAACACCTTGCACATACATCAACACAGAAATAACTTGGTACTGAGTGTGAGTCTGTGCCTTTACAGTTACACATCTGATATAACCTGGATGATTATGATGATTATACAACAGCTGGCAACATCTATATCCTGTAGTCAGCAATATTACAGCTGTGTTATTCACTGCTTTATAGTTAACAACTGACTGAGTTTGGTTTTACGCCGCTTTTAGCAATATTCCAGCAACATCACGGCGGGGGACACCAGAAATGGGCTTCACACATTGTACCCATGTGGGGATTCGAACCCGGGTCTTCAGCATGACGATCCAACGCTTTAACCACTAGGCTACCCTACCTCCCCTTATAGTTAACAAGCTTCTGTCTCATCCTCAGGATCATTACAGTGATAAATCTTACATCACAGTGGTCTTGAAATGATATTCATTGGGTGGGTGGGTGGATGAGTGAGTATTGACAAAGCAGTAACAACATATTTCATAGCCAGCAATACAAACATATCGCTGTGACTTTTAAATGGTATTTAGTGAGTGAGTGAGTATTGACAAAGCAGTAACAACATATTTCATAGCCAGCAATACAAACATATTGCTGTGACTTTTAAATGGTATTTAGTGAGTGAGTATTGACAAAGCAGTAACAACATATTTCATAGCCAGCAATACAAACATATTGCTGTGACTTTTAAATGGTATTTAGTGAGTGAGTGAGTATTGACAAAGCAGTAACAACATATTTCATAGCCAGCAATACAAACATATCGCTGTGACTTTTAAATGGTATTTAGTGAGTGAGTGAGTATTGACAAAGCAGTAACAACATATTTCATAGCCAGCAATACAAACATATCGCTGTGACTTTTAAATGGTATTTAGTGAGTGAGTGAGTATTGACAAAGCAGTAACAACATATTTCATAGCCAGCAATACAAACATATCGCTGTGACTTTTAAATGGTATTTAGTGAGTTCAGTTTTACGCCGCACTCAGCAATATTCCAGCTATATGGCGACGGTCTGTAAATAATCGAGTCTGGACCAGACAATCCAGTGATCAGAAGCATGAGCATCGATCTGCGCAATTGGGAACCGATGACATGTGTCAACCAAGTCAGCAAGCCTGACCACCCGATCCCTTTAGTCGCCTCTTACGACAAACATAGTCGCCCTTTGTGTCAAGCATGGGTTGCTGAAGACCTATTCTACCTCGGATGAGTCAGTGAGTGAGTGTTGACAAAGCAGTAACAACATATTTCATAGCCAGCAACATAACCATCATATCGCTGTGACCTTTAAATGGTATTTAGTGAGTGAGTGAGTGAGTAAGTATGAATGGCATCAGCAGTATCTCACTTTCTAATCAATGTGGCCTTGACGAGAGTGGCATGAAGCACACAAACCAGAGGTCAATAGTGCGAACACCATTACACAACACCTGTGTTATAGTCCCTAACAAGTCAATCCAAGCTGCTACCATGTCAGCTATAAGAATGGTCATGTTAGCAACATCCTCAGTGCTACAAGAGTTGATAACACTCTGTATGACCCCAAACTGAAGGACAAGAATTGATCTTCACTGAGCCACCTGTTGAACACTCTCCACTGTCTCACATCTTCAGCAACATCTGAATATACTCTTTTGTTGAAATACCCACAACCTGACTAGGAACTACATTACTACATGTTTGAAGATATAGATGCTTTATGATTGAACCCTGATGAATCATCCAGTCAATGCTAGATGCACATGGAGTTTACAGTTACCTACATGACCACATCTCCCGCCATGACGGCCACAGGAAGTCCTTCAAGGAGGGGTTTCCCTAAACACTACTCTAACCCAAGTATATTGCTTGTAGGTGTTAAACTACCGCTTGTTACTTGTCCATCTTTCTCTGGAGTAAACAAGTCCCCATAATGACAATAGCCGACTTTGGAGGACCCTTTAGTCTCCAATCTTCTTCCAGCCCCTTGTATAATTTTTATCAAGGACCACCATTAAGGATGTGTGGTATTACCAGTATACCATGATTTTAAATTAAAGATGTCAGTTTCAAAATCAGGCATATTTTCATTTCATTTTTTAAAGATTTACTCAAGTGAGAAGTCAAACTTGCATTATGAAATAACAGAACCACAGTTATCATTGTCGGTATTCTAAGAATACTGCATCTGTTACATAACTGCCATAAAAACTTGTTGCAATAAGAAATATTTCAAAATAGTATTTCCTTTCCAAAACCATGGAGAATATTTAGTCACAGACCAAACTGTTTCGTAATATTAGATTTCACAATCTGATTTAAGAATTTGAATGTAGATATTTGAGCCAATATCTGCATACAATATCCTGATCAAACATTTTGACAAGATGACAAAAAACTCAACAGACAATTTTGAACATCATGCATTTTGACTAAAACTTTGGATCTAAATGTCTACTTGTATCATATATATTAATAAGTATCATTAATTTATACATATACAGGGATTGGGAAAGGCAGGGGCCATGGGCCATTTTGCACATTAGAATAAAAAATGTCCCATTAGAATTTTGACGGTTGCTATTGATACAATGTCAGTGGCCCATTCTAAATTCAGAAAATGGCTAATAATCCTGAAAATGGCCCATTGTCAAAGTTCTCTATCCCAATCCCTGCATATATCTCAAATGCAGAATTAGGTCCCTTGCCACTACAATGCTGCATAACTTGCATTTTTTTCTAAAGCACACACATTTCCCAGCTAAAATACAGTAATACCTCAAAAGCCCACTGATAATGAGTATATATTTCAACCATTGATAAACATACAAATTTAATAGTTGCGTTTAAACCTGTGGTCAATAATCTGGCCTATAGTCAGTCATATGACCCTGGGAAATGTTCCCTGCCAATAAAAATGACTGACACATCAGAGTTAAAACAGGGCTCGATTTAAGAGAGGTTAACGTATTTGCACCAGTTGCAACAGAAGATAAAAACCTAGCTGCACCAGCCAAATTCCAGTTGCAACGTAGTGTGTTAAAACGTCAGAGGTTTCGGTGTACATAAACATATTTCTGTGATGTAGTACCTATGAAACCATAGCAACACAGAGACACAGCTGATCCCTGTTTACAAGAACTGTCATAGCCGAAACGTGTATATGAATAGCAATATTTCAGTGCCATGGCTATTCAAAGGTTAGAAGAAAAATTAGCTGACATATTTATGCTTAATGTTAAGATTTATTGTTGCTTTATTTCTCAAAAAATTGACTTGCACCTTGTGCAAGTTAAGACTCATAACTAGGTTGCACTTTGTAATATTGAGTTGCACCAGTGCAAGTAACAAAGCACTAAATCGAGTTCTGTAGAAGGATCCGAGATCACCTATATCTGTAATCAAGTAGCCTGATAATATGGGTGGGATACAATTGTTATCCCGATACAGTACTACTGTGTTATACTTTCACTATCTCTCCCTTTCTGCAGGTAAATCCCAACCCTACATCATTGGTTTTTATATCCCAGACAGTGGACATGTGGGAATCGTGGAGGAGAAACACATAAGCCTGGTGCACTATGAAGATTCTGCTATATATAGCCTACCTAGAAATACTAGAAAATCTGCATGAACTGGTTCTGGAATAATTTCTGCTATTTTTCACATCTTTCCGTCAGCATAAATTTGTAAAGTGATGTATTGGATGTACTGGGATGTATTGGATGTACTGGGATGTATTGGATGTACTGGGATGTATTGGATGTACTGGGATGTATTGGATGTACTGGGATACAGGAGTTGTAAATCAACGTTTCGTATCAGGAGCCTTGTATCGCAATACAATAATGCACTGCTGTATTGTTACGCTACTAGTATACAGTCACTGACAGGGATATACATCAGGATGCTACTAGTATACAGTCACTGACAAGGATATACATCAGGCTGGCAACATCCTACACCCAACACAATTTCAAACTGGGAGTAGTCTAAAATATCGCTACTTATAATATACTTCCTAGACCTGCATGGTATTAGCAATATACTGCATTATGATTTTCAATTCAAACAACATTTCAGCAATATGTTTTGAGTATTCTGGTATATTGGGTAAAAAATATAGTGCTATATTTACAATAACAATTTGGAAAAATAATAAAAAATAATAATAATATATATATATAACACAACTTAATGACAAAATAATGTTTGTTTGTCGTTTAACACCACACTCAGCAATACTATAGCTGTATGGCAGCAGTCTGTAAATAATCGAGTCTGGACGAGACAATACTGTGATGAACATGAGCATCGATCTCACATGTGTGACAAAATAATGACACTACAGGTTTCAGCTATATCATCTAATTGTTATCTTCAGTGCTATCTTTCAGAAAACATATGGCTGAAACTTACAGTTTGTGTTTTGTCATTACACTGTGATTTTTTCATAAACATACACTGGTGAGCTTTACCGGGTCCGGGTTAGAATACTGATCTTCAGTAACCCATGCTTGTCGTAAGAGGCGACCACCGGGATCGAGTGGTCAGGCTCGTTGACTTGGTTGACAAAGGTCATCGGTTCCCAATTGCGCAGATCGATGCTCATGCTGTTGATCACTGGGTTGTCTGGTCCAGACTCGATTATTTACAGACCGCCGCCATATAGCTGGAATATTGCTGAGTGTGGCGTAAAACTAAACTCACTCGCTCACAAGATAAAAAACTTACTTTCGATTTGACCAGCTCCTCTGTCCTTTGGTGAATGTCTTGCGACTTCTTGGGACGCATCAGAATGTAGATTTTGTCTATTTCTGGACATGACCTCAACAGTTTCTCAATCAACACTTTGCCAACAAAACCAGATGCTCCTGTCACAAATATCTTCCTTCCTTTGTAATAATCAGCAACACACAGTTCTGTGTGGTCGTCCATCTTGATTTCTGTGGAATCGGGGTCAACCAATTCCGTGGCAACATTCGAAGACTGTTGGATGTCCATTTACTCTCTGAAAACAAAAACAACTTTTTCAAGAATTTCAACCCTGCAATCCATTCTAATAATTTGTTTAAATACTTCTGTATTGATAACATTTGTTTTGAAAGGGGAGCTTTTATGAAAACATTAACAACTGGACAGACCGTAAGGGAATTTAGTCATGAGTGTCAAGGTTTCTTGTAAAATTTTCACACTCCTAAAAAAGACAAAATGTCCAGGATAAATCCATAGATTTAAACATGAATACAAAACAAGACACACCCCTCTCATAACTTCAAAGTCTGGTAACACCCATAGGAAAAATCCATTTCAAACTGATTACTATATCTGTCCCCAAGAGTACTAGAATTTGTACCGTACAAATGACACACATATCCACTTTCAAATAGTCATTGCACATTCACAATATTACCATGGTTACTGTCTGTCAAGTTCAGTTTTATCCTGGTTACCATGGTTACTGTCATATACATCAGTGTAATTAAACTGACAGCGATTACAACAGTGTTGATTCTGTCACAACATTAGCACGATGAATGTACATGACAGGAATGCAGTTTCTGTCTGGTATCAAATTTTAATGATTCTGGTAACATTCACCAGCGGAGTTTTATGTGAGAATAGTTTTCGACACTCTAAGTAGAGTCCTAAAGTCGACATTGTCAGTAGAACACCATTCCCATATAACTTATTCAAGCATATGCACATATTCACATATACTAATTATATATTCACAAACGGTTTTGCCTAGTTGTCAGTAACTATGACTCAGCATGGTCTGAATCTCTGATGTGTTAGTCATCTATATTGCCATGTTAGCGAAACAGTCCAAGTATGAAAGGCAAAGGACCCTTGTGAAAACCCTGTTTGTAGAATGCTAGAAATTTAAAAGGCCTCTATATTCAAGTATGAGGGTAGCCTGGTGGTCAAAGTGTTTGCTCACCACACCAAAGCTTGGGTTTGATTCCCGACACAACTGAAGCCCATCCCTGTAGTGCCTTCCTTTGTGACAGTGATGAATATGTCTGAACATGGAGCAAAAACATACTCGCTATTCCAGTTTACTACAATATACATCAAGAACACACCTATTTTTAAAACACTCAAGTGTATCTTTACAAATATTTCTTTGAGAGGCATTTTATAAGTTGGGAAGTTCAATATTGACAAACTTTGCTGATAACGGTACAAAAATCTGTATCGAAATGTCGCACTCATGAAAGAAAAGTTGTTATCCATCAAGTTTGAGAAATCTTTATTTTCATCTCAATGACTGCAGTAGGCGCTGATACAAGCCCCATTCACTCGACTGTCGGGAGAGAAAATTTTGTTTATCTTAGTGACAGCAGTAGGTGGTGGACAAGCCCTATTCCACAGATATCTAAGTGGTGAGGAGATGATCGTAACTCCCATAACTCAACACAGTAATATCACTAACACCATTTGCTGAAAGGGGGCTCTGGACAAGACATGATAAAGTTGGGTTTTACAGGATGCAGAAATGTGCATCCCGTAAGCACTAATGTATAGTATGAACTCAGGAAATATATATATCTATTGCATTCAATAGGATGCCCCAAAATATCTATTTTACCAAATTCTTGACACAAAACCATAATAACTAACATCTTACAGTACAGTACACTATTTCATTGCTATACAGGGCCCTCTGTAACTGTTAGGACTTTTGACATGAGCAAGTGGGGGGTGTCTGGACCCCAAGTCTTGTACCAAACAAATATTCGACTGCTCCCTATTCATGTTTTTTAATCAATCATAACCTACCATTTGTATGATTAATGCAAAATAATCATAATGTAATCACAAGATACCACTTATGGCAATACATCAATAACACATACATCTTGATCAATCAATGAGAATTTAAAACAAACATCCGAGTAACATATTGTCCCCAGAAAAAGCGCTGTATTAGCTTAAATAATGATAATGGAGCAAACGTTTCTTAAAAAATACCAAAACAATTCAATTTATGACTTTCTTATAAATGCATGTTCTGCAGGAGAAGAGAGAGAGTTGTTTTATGGCCTTTAATCCCAATGAAGACCCCAGGTTCACACACTGTATCTATCCATGTGAGGAATCTAACCAGTATTTGTATGACAGTCACGCACATGAACCACAGTCCCAGTAACCATGGTGGGGTAGTGGGGTAGACTAGTGGTTTAAGCGTTCGCTCGTCACGCCGAAGACCCGGGTTCGATTCATCACATGTGTACAATGTGTGAAGCCCATTTCTGGTGTCGTCTGCTGCAATATTGCTGGAATATTGCTAAAAGCGGCATAAACCATACTTACTAACCCAGTAACCATGGTAACATGAAAGTCAAGAAGCACAAACTGATACAAAATCTACTAATACTAGTGTCATGAAACCAATAAAATGAACCAAACATTTGAATTATTGTAAGCATGAACCCAGGACTTCTCGCATGCTAAGCAGGAACCATAACCCTCGACCAACGAGCCCCTTTGTACTCACTCATCAAGTTGACTACATGAATTGTTGAACCAACAAAATGTCCAACACAGCATCACATCTTAGTGACTTAGTGGAAGCTAAAATATTGAACACCCATTTACATGAACAAGCAGACTGTCAAAGTAGTCAATACAACAGACAGCACACACAGAAGACACTTTCCAAAGCATCAAATTTTCAAACGGCCATTCCATGTGTGAGTTGATGGATGTAGGCTGTAGTGTCCTAGCACACCTACTTCACAGAACAAAACTCACATATATCACCGACTGGTAGTGAAATATTAATCTAGTACTATGGAAGAAGATCAAATTTACACAAAGAAACCTAGAGAAGGAATGTGGCATGTTCAAAACATCTGAAATCTGAAAAAAGACACAGCAGTTTTAATCTATGACACAAACCTGAAAGTGGCTGTACTACAGTATCTATCAGCCATGAACCTTTGATACTTCTAACTGACCAGTCTACCAATGTCTTCACATTCAAAGAAACACAATTAACTTAGACTTTATGTATGACTTAACAACCCTGAATAACTGGTCACAATTGACCAAAACAAATTCTATTTGAAAAGTCATACCTGGTGAGAAAGTGTAATCCCAAATAGAACACATGTTACAGGACATCTGGTGTTTTTGAAAATGGAAATCATACCAGCAGCATCCGATACAAGCACAATTTGAATAAAAAACTATGTTAAGATAGTGTAGTGCCTTAAATAGGCCCATGGGGGCTATCTAATTCTATTAACTGTCAAAATGTTTGGTTTAGACTATCGCCTATGTGTGACCATGGTAACCAGTCCCCACCCTATATACCAGTTGCGTCCACTTACGAATAAAACTGGTTATTTTCAACACATTCCTTATTTGTAATATCAGCTGAATATGGAATAATCCAATATGTCACATTAAATAAATATTAAAATATACAAAATAAGTGATGACATAGATCAAAGTTTAAAATATACCTCAATACCAAAATGTGCGGTCTGCAACAGCAGCCCTACAGGGATATTTATCTAAACCTGCTCCAAGACCAATATATCGCACCTACTAGATGACCTACTCTACGGTGTATATTTCCTACTTCAGTAATAATTAATAAGATGAACTGGTCAAGGAGTCATATTCTACTGATAAAAGGACAAGAATGAATGAATGGCTTGTATGCAATGTTCAAATACCTCTGAAAATAACTATAATAAATCCCAATTTTAAACAAAATAACAAATTTCCCACTTTGCCCGCTACATGGAATCCCATAGAAATCCCAGCCCTGATTCAAATATGTGCTGTCCATGAATCCAGTGACCTACAGACCTGATCCTGGTGTGAGAACCAGTGTGAACGTCCTTGTTGCCCACTGCCGAAAGGCTGACCCATACTTTGTACATCAATTTATATCATCACATATGTCAGTGATAAGCCCCAACCGTTTAATCAGCAGGTTATCACTCCACATGCGATAACCATCAAGATAACACACTGAACTCAAACAATAATTGCATCTAACACAAACACTTGATCAAACAAATCACGACATTTATGATCAGGCTATAAAATTCACAAAAAATTACTTGGACTTTAAATGTTCATCAGTCAAAATCTTCCTACCCAGACTAAACATATGGATGCAGTCTTCTAGGGTACTGCGGAGAGCAACAATAGATAATGTTGGAGATATTCATCAAAACAAAATCCATCTGAAGATTGAGTTACAGTACAACCTTGATCCATTTTGACCTTCAATATAGGAGATAATTAAGTTATTAGTTATTAATCTAGTTTGTGTTTTTAATGCTGCATTCAATAATATTTTATGACATCAGCAGCAAATATTGGAATCTGGACTAGGCAAACCAGTGATCAATATTGTGAGCATCATTCAACTGGGGCACAACGACATGCCATCATGATCCAACTCTGATCACATTCATGTATATATTAATTATCTGATAACTAAGCCTAAAATCTACTAATTAAACAAGTTAAGGCTAGTAGACAGCAATTGTATAAGGCACGAACTGGTAGAGTAGAATTTGCTGATGTGAAACACTATATTTACAAAACAAGACATATTATCTCATGAACAGAAGTCAGTTCCAGCATGCATGAACCATAATCAAACAACCAAAACATTGATTACTACCAATTTATCACATCCACACACAGTTTATTCTTACCCCGACTGGCATTAATGGGTACAACAAGGACTGGTCAGTATAATGTGTCTGAGTGAGGTATTCATGCTTCACTGTGGCATGGTATCTCTGTGGGCTAGCACTATAAAACCAGCTTAAGTCTGGGCTAGCACAAGCAGCCGCACATACACATACACACGCATGCACGTCGTCATATGAGCGAAATATTCTCAAGCAACGACGTTAAACCCAATTTCACCTCACCTCACCTCTTACCCCGACTAACAACATTTGTCCACCATGTATTACAGCTGTGACAGGATGTAAGGATTTATCTCAATTCTTATTGCTACAGCAAACCTACAAAAGTAGGCTGGTTTTATGATGATCTGTATACCTATATGTCAACATGATCACATTTGAATGATTCCCATTTAATTCACTATATTAATACCGTCAAGCTGTCAGTACCTTTATTGAATTTATAGATCGAATGAGTTGGTGAATGAAATTGATGATCCAGGTAATGAGAAAGGCAGCACAAAAGTGATGAACAAAGCCACACATCTTCGCTAAAAACTATGCAGGGATCGGTATCGGATGTTTTGCCTTTTCCACAAAAGCAATAACTTCCGAAATATCCAACACACTACCATGTGTTACCATGGTTACAAGTTTTACTATTCGCATTGTTTGTGAAAATAAGTTTGTTTGTGAAAATCACATGTTGTTTACAAATCATCATAATCACTATGATTATGATAACCTTGTACCCAACCCAAAACAATATCCTTGGTCATTTATCACAACCAACAATGTTACTGACAAGAACTGTCTGGAAAAGGGCATTAACATCTTTGTAATAAGATAAAATTTAGGCATGAACTTAATCCATTCTTGAAGACAACCAGTAACAACTAAACTGTTTTAACAATATCCTCAAATTAAATGGTCCTGATATTATGTACACAATGTCTATTGAATCGGACGTGTGAGAACACATGTATATTGATAAAGCGATACAGAAAGGTTTCTCTTTGGAGACCACAATTTATGGAAGAAAACAACGAATAAAAAATGCTACGACACCTGAAATGTATCAAAACACGAGGCACGATTTTTAAGGCGTGGTTTACCATGTTGACTGTTGAAGAGAGGCGCCACAACTCAGATTCTAACATTTCATCATTATTGGCAAGGCTTTCGTTTCATGGCGACATATTTCAGACTACCAATATCACAATGAATGTACTTCTATAACCGCACAGCTGTCATTTATCATAACATTGACGTTAAATACCACAACGTGAAGTAAGATCCTAGATACCAGCCAAACACCCGTCGCCAAAGCAAAATCAAATTTCAGGAAGTGACTGGTCTAACCTAAATTATCAGAATTAGGAAATCAGCTTGAAAATACCAACCTGACGACCGGTCAAAAATCTAGTTTGAAGATCTGAAATTCCGTTGCACCCGTAATCACCTCAATTTACTCATTCGCTTTATAACATTAAGGGCGATTTTGATAAGGCTTGTCACATTCCAGAATTTTGCCGATGCAAATTTGGCTGGTGTCAGAGGTCGGGAGAATCGCAGCATATATTTACTCGACATTTCATTGGTTCATTTTCATCAGTTGTTTTTTTTAAAGTATGAAGAACACAGAGACTCACAGTGATATTAACTAAAATTAAAATTCAATTAAGAGACAATTTAATCCTTATAATTTACAACAACGGAATCTTGGTTCATTTTGAGTGCACCTGTTTACCCACAATACATTGTCCATCATGGCGACGCCCATGTCCACGAATACAGAGTGAATGCTTCTCAGTGGAACGTCATTTGATGACAGTTGCAAGGAGACAGCTATAAGAATCGATTAATTAGTAATCATGGATAAAGACTGGCCAGGCAACAATATTGATCAGGTTATCTATCTTTTGCTTTGCTTAAACAGATAGTATATATGCGACCAAGTGCCTCAGTGGTTAGTGTTTTTCTTGGTAGAAGATGCAAAAGTGAAGCGGTCATAAAATAACACCAGTCTTTTAATTTCATTGTTTGGATCATTTTAGATATGCAAGAATGTTGCTTACCTGCAAAATAAACTGTTAAAAATAAATGGTATACTGGAAAATGAATAATGAGAGATACATTACACATTAATGAAAGAGAAGTTTTGCTTAAAATGGAAACAAGGAAGGCTAGCCTCACAAGAGGACCTTGTAATTTAAATAGTTTGAAATAAAAAACATGTTTGCATAGAAACTATGAAACTGTCTTTAGTCTATAGTTATGAACATTAGTTGATAGCAGATGCAGCTTGCAAAGAGTGACCTCTATCAGTAATATATGTTTATAGAACAAATGACACATATCCTAGGTTGAGCGAGTAACATTACAGAGTTCAGAGTACATCGAAAGTGGTTTATGTAGACTGTTCAGAGGCAGATAGGCCCAAAGTCTGCAGCAAAAATCAGTCAAAATTCCCAAATTGTATAGTTGCATAAACTTTGTTTCCATTTGGTAATCACTGTACTCTAGAACACATTTCCCATTTGTTGTTAGGCCAATGGGGGAGTTGCTGATGCCCCCGTGGCAGATGAAGATGATGACTTCGGAGAGTTTGGAGGCTTTGAAGTAAGTAGTGTTTTCAATGCTGGATACATACAGGATGTTTGAAAACCTGTGCTTGTTTATGATAGATGACATTTATGTGAATGCTTACGATTGTTTACCCTATTTAATATTAACCATCTGTGATCATTGTTTCAGTATCTAAATATAAATGTTGAAAATTTTCAGTGTGAGTTTTGTGTACAGTGGCCTGCATGTGTTCTTCAGAGAGGTATTTGCAATTTTCATGTTACAGGCAGCAGATCCGATTCCTCCAAATGTAGCACAGCCAGGAAACCAGGCAGAGGCAGGATCATCTCCATGGGCAGTCTTTGCTTCTGGTAAGTCTTGCACCTTCCAATTGAAAGGACCCGTGAAGATCCGGGGTAGAATAGGTCTTCAGCAACCCATTCTGGTCATAAAAGGCGACTATGCTTGTCGTAAAAAGCGACTAACGGGATCGGGTGGTCAGGCTCGCTGACTTGGTTGACACATGTCATCGGTTCCCAATTGCGCAGATCGATGCTCATGCTGTTGATCACTGGATTGTCTGGTCCAGACTCGATTATTTACAGACCGCCGCCATATAGCTGGAATATTGCTGAGTGCGGCGTAAAACTAAACTCACTCACTCACTCACTCACTCCAATTGAAAGAAAAATGTGTACATTTTTATACATATGACAGTATTATCTATGTGCACGATTGGCGGAACTTTGAATTCCTATCTGTAATCCATACTTTCCAATTGAAAGGCAAAACATGTACATCTAAGTGTTATATATGTTGTAGAGTGGGAACAATAATGGAAAAAAAAGTTTTACACCTCATTTATAATTATCTTTTGTACATATTATATGTTTAAGGATTTCATAGCCTTACAAAACCTAAAACAATCACACCTCCTTTTAGTCTTGCGTAACATATATCAGGTTATTTGTCAGTAAAATACAGAGCCGTAACATTGACATTAGCTGCAGACCCTGGGCTTAATATCAATATCTGAACAGGTCCTGATGGATCTCTGATGTTTTCCAAATATAAATATAACATAATACTTGATTCATAATTGATCGAAAGAAAGAACATGCTGATATGAATGCCTCTTTGAATATCAAGTCAAAGAGTTGCTTCCCTTTGTGTTATAATTGGCTTCAGTTGGAATTCTTATTACTGAAATGTGTTGGCAGGTCCACTGTTGTGACTAGTATTTTCTTTTTTGTAACATTTTGTGACAATCCATAAGCTAAGTTGAATAGTATTAGTAAATACCTAGGCTGTGTTCCTTCAGGAAGTGGAACGTTCCGGCAACCTGACCTGCTGTGTGCACAGAATGCTTTCCCTCAGTATCTGGACCCCTCAGGTATCTCGGGGGGTCTGGCCAACGACGCCTCTGCTAACCCCGCCCAGGGTGACCAGCCATCCTTTCCAGCCAACTTGGATCTCAGTAATCATGATCAGGTCAGTGTGCAACCCAGTTATCCAGACAGTTCTACATTTGTTATTAAATGTATAAAGGAATGTGTTAAAGTCTCTGTTGGACTGGCATTTGGGGAAGTAGGTGATTGGAAATATTTGTATTAATATAGATTGGCTAAAAGGTACCATATTTCAATGTAACATTTTATGATAAAAGTGATGATTCTGTCTGTGTTACCTAGTAGACCTGCATTTAGTCAATTTAATTTCTGAATATGATCCAGGATGATCCATGGTATGCTTAATGTTGATTTGTCTGTTTTCTCATTGTCACTGGTAACCATGGTAATCTTCATGAGTGACACATATCTGTGGAAAGTGAGGTAATAATTTAGTATTGATACTCATAAATCTGTATCAACATATCGTTGACATTAATATTGTAACCCGCGAAGATCCGGGGTAGAATAGGTCTTCGGCAACCCATGCTTGCCACAAAAGGCGACTATGCTTGTCGTAAGAGGCAACTAACGGGATCGGGTGGTCAGACTCACTGACTTGGTTGACACATGTCATCAGTTCCCAATTGCGCAGATCGATGCTCATGCTGTTGATCACTGGATTGTGTGGTCCAACTCGATTATTTACAGACCGCCGCCATATAGCTGGAATATTGCTGAGTGCCGCGTAAAACTAAACTCACTCACTCATTAATATTGTACTGATACATCAATACCGTTATATAAGATGACATGCTTGCTGGCGTTATTAGTGATTTAGGGAAGTGGGGTAACCATACTGGTTAAAGCATTCACTTGTCACGTGGGTACAATGTGTGAAGCCCTGCTGTGATATTGCTGGAATATTGCCAAAAGTGGCGTAAAACTAAACTCTCTCTTTATTTTTGTTTGCAACTTTGTGATTTCTAAATAAGGTTGATTTTCAGTATTTACCAATGGAATTCTCCTTTGTATGTTTTCAATGTTTGATTGGAACAGTTAGATATTTTCTTATTGAAAATATACACATGACATATTTTGAGACATTTGTGATTGTGGAAAGATAACAATATCCCTATGAAAAGTAGAGTAGTATATTTGGGGCATCGATGGCCCAGTGGCTCCAGTGGCTCTGGTCACCATGAATCACTGCAGAGTTACTTCCACTTGCTGTCTAATCAGCCAGAAAAAACACTCCTGAGCTCATATGCTCTAATGATGCCATCATCAGTGAAAATTTGCTTCTTTTCGAATTAAGCCAGCTGTAGAAATAAATGTTAGAAATTGAGTGCGAAAGTCATGGAGCTTCTGTTATAGGTTTTAATGTTGGAAACATGACATACAGATGGTCCCAAGATTTTCGTACTTTGTTAGTAGCCCTGAGAGCCCCAGGATTACTGTCTGATAATACTCACGCATTCACCATTAATCATCTTTCATCTTCAAACATCATTCACCATTAAATGTCACTTATCATAATAATTGTCGTAAAGCATTCACCACTAAACATTCATCATAGAATGTTTCTCATGAAGAAACATCTGTCATCCCAAAACATCATCATTAAACATCTTTCATCATAAAACAACAGTCAGCATAAAACATTAATCATAAAACATCACTGAACATCATTCATCTGTTCATCTTTCTATGATCAGATCACAGATGCTGCTGACCAGGCCCGAATTGCTGAGAATGTTCTGGACGGAACTCTCAATGCCTCAACACGAAGCGTTACCTCCCCTGAAGTAGCACAGCCACCATCTTCCCCAGCTCCTCTTCCCGATCTGGGTCTGGGAGGGAATCGTCTCCCCTTGATGAGAGAAGCCAGTCCTGACCTGCCACCAGAGGGTGCTGCAGCAGAGGCAGAGCTAGAACCAGCCCCACAGGAAGATGTTGTCCCAGAGCAGGTGGAACCGGTTGCTGAAATTCATGAAAATGTTGCCCCTCCTGTTCGTGTTGAAGAGGATGTGCAGCCTTTGGTAGAAGAAAATGCTAAATTAAAAAAGGTATCAAGAATAGACATGTATTTAAGGATTATCAGGATTTTTCCGCATATGCTTTATATGTGGAAAGAATTTCAATGATATACATGGCAGTGCCACCGGAGGTAACAGTCTGTGCCAAAACCTTTTGAGTCTACTAGACTAAACTTGGCATCATTTTTTGATAAATGTTGGTGTTATCATACTTTTATGAAACCAAACAGAATTTAATTAGACTCCCACATCAGACTAGTGGCTGAAGTTGTGGACTGGGTAATACAAGACTTTCACTCCCTCACTATTGCAGGACCTAGAAGGCTTATCTGCCCAGAACCAGCAGCTGGAGGAAGACCTGACTCGGGCCAGGACGGACTTGGAGCAACAGCGGGCCAGGCTCACAGAGATACAGGTCAGGACTCTCATAATATTAGCCCTGTGAACACTCCAGTAAATCAACAACACATGCTTGTCGTAAGACGTGACTAACAAGATCAGTTGGTCTTGTGTGATGACTTGGTTGATACAAGTCATTGTATCCTAACTGTGTACATTGATGCTCATGATGTTGACCACTTGATTGTGTGGTCGAGAATTAGTTATTTACAGACTGTCAACTTGAAACTTTAAAATTGCTACTTTAAATATGCAACTACAGTATAAAGACAAATGATTTTAGCATTAATCATTGCATTCATCCCTGGCACCAATTTCCCAAATGTATAGAATATATGCAGCCTTTTTGTGGTGTCCCTAGTCATGAGCTAGCTGGTATGTTGCTGAAAATGTCATAAACACTACTCACTCACTCTCGCTATGTTATTCTGCAACAAACTATGCTAATCAAATCATGAAAGGATGGAACACAGCATGGGATCATGGACTAGTTGATGTCTACAACAGCTTGGGTCTACTGTGTGTCACATCTGAAGTGTTTTTCAGGAGCGACATCGTCTGGAACTTGATGAGGTGAAGAAGGCCGGTCATGATGCATTGAGTGTGGTGGTGGAACAGTACAAGGTAGGATATTCCCAGCTGATAATCAGTTGATTCAGCTAGTATAGAGGAAGAACATTGACAACTGTCAACTTGAAATATTACCTGTGTTGATCAGCTGTGATTGGGTTAGGACATTCACAATCAGCTGACTAAGTGTTGATCAGTTGTTATATGGCTGGGACGTTGACAACTTGTAACTCAGGTGTTGGTTAGTTCTTATAGAGATAGAACACTGACAACCTGTAATTGTCCCCCGACGCAACGCGGAATGGGGGACTATGTATTCAGCAGCGTCCGTGTGTACGTACGTACGTCCCGATTCTTGTTAACGCAATATCTCATTAACTGTTGTACCCAATGTCTTCAAATTTGGTGACAGCCTACCTTAAGGGATTATACAGACACCAGTCGATTTGGGTGACCTTGACCTTATTTTCAAGGTCACCATGACACTTTGAAGACTTTTCAAACTCTTGTTACGCGACATCTCATGGACTGTTGTACCCAATGTCTTCAAATTTGGTGACAGCCTACATTGGGGGATTACGCAGACACCAGTTTATTTTGGTGACCTTGGCCTTATCTTCACGGTCACCACGACACTTTGAACACTTTTCAAACCCTTCTTAAGGCGGACCCGTGAAGGTCCGGGTCTATTAGAATGGCCCTTCAGCAACCCTTTCTCGCTATAAAAGGCGACTATGCTTGTCGTAAAAGGCGACTAACGGGATCGGGTGGTCAGGCTCGCTGACTTGGTTGACACATGTCATCGGTTCCCCATTGCGCATATCGATGCTCATGCTGTTGATCACTGGATTGTCTGGTCCAGACTCGATCATTTACAGACCGCCGCCATGTAGCTGGAATATTGCTGAGTGCGGCGTAAAACTCAACTCACTCACTCACTCACTTCTTAACGCGACATCTCATGGACTGTCATACCCAATGTCTTGAAATTTGGTGACAGCCTACATTGGGGGATTACGCAGACACCAGTTTATTTTGGTGACCTTGACCTTGTCTTCAAGGTCACCACGACACTTTGCACGCTTTTAACTCTTGTTAATGCGATATCTCATGGACTGTTGTACCCAATGTCTTCAAATTTGGTGACAGCCTACATTGGGGGATTACGCAGACACCAGTTTATTTGGGTCATCTTGACATTATCTTCAAGGTCACCACGTCACTTGACCACTTTTCTAACTCTTGTGAACGCGATATCTCATGGACTGTTGTACCCAGTGTCTTCAAATTTGGTGACAGCCTACCTTAAGGGATTATGCAGACACCAGTCGATTTGGGTGACCTTGTCCTTATTTTCAAGGTCACTATGACACTTTGAACACTTTTCAAACTCTTCTTAACACGACATCTCATGGACTGTCATACACAATGTCTTGAAATTTGGTGACAGCCTACATTGGGGGATTACGCAGACACCAGTTTATTTTGGTGATCTTGACCTTGTCTTCAAGGTCACCACGACACTTTGCACGCTTTTAACTCTTGTTAATGCGATATCTCATGGACTGTTGTACCCAATGTCTTCAAATTTGGTGACAGTTTACATTGGGGTATTACGCAGACACCAGTTTATTTGGGAGACCTTGACCTTACCTTCAAGGTCACCACAACACTTTGACCGGTTTTCAAACTTATTTGAACGCGATATCTCATAAAACATTGCACCCAATGTTTTCAAGTATGTTGACAGCCTACATTGGGTGATTATGCAGACACCAGTCATTTCAGGCATCTTGTATATGACCAAAAAATAAAAAGTAGTAAATATAGATATTCCATTCTTTAGCGGCGGGGGACATTGCCATATCAGTGGCAAACACTTGTTTATTATCTGCAACTATATAGTATAAGGCTCCATCCGTCCGTCTGTACATCTTGTACGTGCGGATGAACATACCAAATGGAATATCTTAAGAACAGGTAACTAGATTCTTTTCATATTTGGTACCTAAGTTCAGCACAGTATGAGAAAGGTCCCAGTCAGATTTGATGACCTTGACCTTCATTTCAAGGTCACAAGGGGACTTTAACATATTACCCTTGTCAGCAAGATATCTCAAGAACCGTTGACTGGATTTTCTTCATATTCGACACCAAGTTTTATCTAGGGAAGGCGCTGGGTCCAGTTAATTTTGGTAACATTCACTTAATTTTCAAGGTCACGGACGGCACTTTGAAGATTTCAGCATGTTAAATTGCATGTTAATATTGTCTCAAGAACGGTTCACTGGATTTTCTTCATAGACTTTCAAGACTTCTCTTGAATGTTTTTTTATAAGTATTTTCTTTATTACTATCTTTGCATATCTCATACCCCATGACATTCATGTCAAGGTCAAAGTGAGTCTTGAAAATATTTGTGTGTTTGAACAGCAAGATATCAAGAAAGGTTGACTGGTCATGTTTTTGTTGACATTTAACCTCATCTTAAACTATGACCTTTACTTTCATTACTTTTTAAATTTGATTTGATAATTTGTGGTGGGGGATCATGTCACCTTAGTGACAATGCTTGTATTACCTGTGATGATCAGATGAGATCAGGCTGAGACACTGACAACCTGTGTCCCACTGTTCTCACCATGATGAATGTCATTACACTGACCCTAAACTCCCAAATTGTTGCCAGGAGTCTAGCCGGGCTGCTGTGTTAGAGCAGCAGGAGGTCAGCCTCCAACACCTACAGGAGGCTCTCAAACACCAGGCAGAGTGCTACCAGCAGATGATGCAGACACAGGTAGAGTTATCTCCCTTCATTCTTCAGCATATTCTCTGAAGTACGTTTTATGAGATGGTAGTAAGTTCAGGGCCAGAAGTAAAGTGCTGGGGGGACAAGTAATGTTTTGCAAATTTAATGTGGATAGACAGATTTTCTTTTTTGAGATAGGTATAAGAAGGTAAATTTTCAAAGAGAAGAAACAGGTTACTGAATGTTGTAAACAAGAATTTCAGCTATGGTAAGGTTGTGGTGAAAATGATAACATTACTCGAGGTTTTTTGGATGGTGTGATTTGCCCAGCATTGCATGACATTCCTTGCTTTACATGCTCCAGATATCGGACTTGCGGAGTCAGCATGAGGTCGATTTGAAGCGTGAGGAAGAACAGTCTCGAGAGGTGATAGAGACAGCACGTCTACAACAGCAGGAGCAGTTCCAGTTGTTCCTGGAAGAGGAGCGAGAGAAGCAGACGGCAGAAATACAAAAGGCCATACAGGTAAAGCAGCCCAATCATTAGCTGCCCAGGTGAAGCATGCATTAGCCTCTCAGGTGAGGCATGCATTAGCCTCTCAGGTGAAGCATGCATTAGACACCCAGGTGAAGCATGCATTAGCCTCTCAGGTGAGGCATGCATTAGCCTCTCAGGTGAAGCATGCATTAGCCTCTCAGGTGAGGCATGCATCAGCCACCCTGGTGAAGCATGCATTAGCCTCTTAGGTGAGGCATGCATTAGACACCCAGATGAGGCCTGCATTAGCCTCTCAGGTGAGGCATGCATTTGCCATACAGGTAAAGCACACATTAGCCACCCAGGTGAAGCACACATTAGCCGTCCAGGTAAAGCACACTTTAGCCACCCTTGTGAAGCACACTTTAGCCACCAGGTGAAGCACACATTAGCCAACCAGGTGAAGCAGTGTATGCATTAGCCAACCAGTCCTTCAATGACTGTGTTGTTCAGCACCAAACAAATGTACAGTGGTTCTGTCTGGTAGGTGGTCCTGGAAGTGTTGGTATACATAACATGCTTAGTGTTGCTATGGAATTGAAGGTAAGTATGCATAATTACAGGATTCAAAACATTGTCCACAATGTTTGTCTACTGCCTTGACTTTGAAGAGTTTGCAACAGAATGTCATATTTGTTCAGGCCGAGAGGGAGAGCAGCAAGAGACTTATGGAGGCAGCCATTACAGAGGAACAGGAGAAGGCAGCTGAGACACTAGGCAAGGAGCAGGTACAGTTCTGGTCAGGAAACTTGGGTCCTGTACAGGGTCCTGGACATGAAATCAGTTTCCCACATTGTACAAATGTGAAAAGTAAATGTTTCCTATGCATTGCAGTATCATGCTTCCTCCTTAACATGGACCTATTTGAGGTCGTTGCTTATGTTATCAAATTTACATGAAGAAAGAATTGCCTGAAGTATTTAGTATTAGTGGATCCTGTAGTGCCTTACTGTTATGATGTCACTGTCAGATGTTGAAATAATAATAATAATAATAATGTGTACTTCTAAAGCGCCACATTCCATAGACCAAGTGCATGCTCAAAGTGCATACAAATTAAAGATCAACAGAGAGTCTGAAAAGATGGGTCTTGAGCTGAGTCCTGAATGAACCAAACGATGGTGCATCACTTAAGTTAGGGGGCAGTTCATTCCACAATTTTGCTGACAGGACAGGAAAAGATTGTCCATCAAAAGCTGCTAACTTGAAATGAGTGCTTGTTCTTGCAGGAAAAGTTCGCCGAAGTTGCACGTGATGTGAAGGAAAGATGTTCTGAAGATGTGAAGGTTGTCATTGAAGAGGAGAGGACAAGGCAGCAGGTACATCTTGTAGATACACATAGCTACACACAGCTCCATATAGCTACACACAGCTCCATATAGCTACACACAGCTCCATATAGCTACACAGTTCCATATAGCTACACACAGCTCCATATAGCTACACACAGCTCCATATAGCTACACACAGTTCCATATACCTACACACAGCTCCATATAGCTACACACAGCTCCATATAGCTACACACAGCTCCATATAGCTACACACAGTTCCATATACCTACACACAGCTCCATATAGCTACACACAGCTCCATATAGCTACACACAGCTCCATATAGCTACACACAGCTCCATATAGCTACACACAGTTCCATATACCTACACACAGCTCCATATAGCTACACACAGCTCCATATAGCTACACACAGCTCCATATAGCTACACACAGCTGAACATAGATACACACCGCTCCATTTTGCTACACACAGCTCAATATACCTACACACAGCTGAACATAGATACACACAGCTCCATATAGCTATGCACAGCTCAATATACCTACACACAGCTGAACATAGATACACACAGCTCCATATACCTACACACAGCCCCATATAGCTACACACAGCTGAACATAGATACACACAGCTCCATATACCTACACACAGCCCCATATAGATCACACATAGCTACAGTCAGCTACACACAGCTGAACATAGATACACACAGCTCCATATACCTACACACAGCCCCATATAGCTACATACAGCTGAACATAGATACACACAGTTCCATATACCTACACACAGCCCCATATAGATCACACATAGCTACAGTCAGCTACACACAGCTGTACTGTTTGTTGTAGTTTATGTTGCCCCCATGTTGCAGACGTTGCTGTCAGCAGCAGTGGAGGAGGAGAGGCAGCGTGGGCGAGAGAGTGTGAGAGACACACAGAGGTCATCTCAGGAAACAATCCAGTCATACATCCAGGAACAGAGACAGGTGAGTGGACATCAGTACTTGTTACAGAGAGGTGAGTGGACATCAGTACTCATTACAGAGACAGGTGAGTGGACACCAGTACTCGTTACAGGGGGTTGAGTGGACATCAGTACTTGTTACAGAGACAGGTGAGTGGACACCAGTACTGCTACAGTTACAGGTGAGAGACAGGTACTGTGGACAGGTGTGTGGACATCAGAACATGCTACAGAGACAGGTTACTGGATGCCAGTACTGTTACAGAGACAGGTGAGGAGTGGTACATCAGTACTCGTTACAGAGGTGAGTGGACACCAGTACTCGTTACAGAGAGGTGAGTGGACATCAGTACTCGTTACAGACAGGTGAGTGGACACCAGTACACATTACAGAGAGGTGAGTGGACATCAGTACTCGTTACAGAGACAGGTGTGTGGACATCAGTACATGCTACAGACACAGGTTACTGGATGCCAGTACTATTCGTTACAGAGGTTAGTGGACACCAGAGACAGAGGTGAGTGGACACCAGTACTATTACAGACAGGTGAGTACAGTACTGGACAGGTGGTGGACATTACAGACAGGTGAGTGGAGAGGTGAGTGGACACCAGTACACATTACAGACAGGTGAGTGGACATCAGTACTCGTTACAGACAGGTGAGTGGACATCAGTACTCGTTACAGAGAGGTGAGTGGACACCAGTACTTGACAGGTGAGTGGACACCAGAACATGCTACATGGGAAGACACAATGTCTGTCCTCAGTCCCTGATATTGAAGTACTTGATCTTGAAGTACACCACATGTTTGTCCTCCTTCCAGAATGACTCAATATTACATCAGCGCCATCTAGCGAGTCTGGATCTGTTCCTGGCCAGTGCAAGACAACAGCTGCAGATGTTGATGGACACAGAGAACAGCCACCGAGGTGCACCCAGAGCGGAACTGGAGGACAACAGCCATCGCAGGCCCGGAGCAGAACAGGAGGACAGTAGTGGCAGTACGTCCCGACCTGAACCAGGACACAAGTCATGACAGTAGTCACATCCAGGGTCTGCAATAAACTGTTGCCTGTACAAGATGTTAAGGTTATATGCCAAGGTTTCTTGTGCTCAATCACTGTACAGTTGTGTCACAGACTTTAGCACAGAGTCCAGCCTTCATCTGTGGATGGAGCAAGTTAGGAGCTACATGCCTGCGAAGGAGACTAGGAGCTACAGTGAGATGTGTGTACAGTACATATGCTTGTTGCCATGGAGACTGCAATGCAGTGCTACAACCACATGCTTGTCATGAAAGGCAGCTTAATTGTGGATCATGTGACCATGGTTACTGAATATGGATAGTGGCTGGATGGGTAACCATGGTTACTGAATGTAGGTTGAAATGCATGGGTTGCCATGTTGAGTACATGATAATCCAAAGTGGCTGACATGCCCAGTAAATTATTTTTCTTCTGCAGGCAGGATTAAACGAGATTTGACTTCAATGACTCACCTGACTCATCCTATCTACTAGTCTGAGATCGTCACGATATGGCTGAGATATTGCCGATGTGACGTTAAATATTAATTCACTCACTCACTCACTAGTCTGAGGCTAGTAAATGTTTACCCAAACTCTTATTAAAATAGACTGAAATTCACTGTACTAACTTTCAGTAGAGGTTCTGCAAGATAATGGAATATATACTCAATTTTTCCACAACTCGTAATGATGCTGAAAATGCATTGATTCCATGGCTATATAAGTACTATTTGTCTGACAACTGCCCTAACAGTGAGTTACATTCTGTATCCCACCTTGCCAGAAGATTCAGAAGTGAGCAGTGTAGCTGGATGTAGCTGAGTGGATCATCTCCTGAATGTCACAGAAGCCAGAAGCCTGCCATGTTCTGTACCACGTTTCTCTGGCCATCTTCGGTTCAGTGAGATAGCCTAGTGGTTAAAGTGTTCGCTTGTCATGCCAAAGGCCGGGTTTGATACTCTATATGGGTACAATGTGTGAAGCCCATTTCTGGTATTCGCTGTGTGAATATTGCTAAAACCGATGTTAAACCATACTCACTCACTCTGGCCATCTTCCGTGTCTGGTGTCTTCCTCCCAGCATGCCTCAGTGTAGCATGTGACTCCATTAACCAATGAGATCTGATTATATATTCTATGTATTGTACAAGTGCTTTGTGTAAATACTCCACATAATGGGCCCAGGGTCTTTTTTGAGACAACAGTGCTAGAGAATATCCTGCCTGTCAAAATGCAGTAGCTTTTCAGCTGGGCTAATCATGTTTTCAAAAGTGCTAGTCATGTTTTCACTGCTACCTTTTTAAACAGGGCTAGCTAGTACCTTTTTCAACAGGGCTAGCTAGTACCTTTTTCAACAGGGGCTAGTACCTATCTGGTAGGGCTACCTAGTACCTTTTTTTCAACAGGGCTAGCTAGTACCTTTTTCAACAGGGCTAGCTAGTACCTTTTTCAACAGGGCTAGCTAGTACCTTTTTCAACAGGGCTAGCTAGTACCTTTTTCAACAGGGCTAGCTAGTACCTTTTTCAACAGGGCTAGCTAGTACCTTTTTCAACAGGGCTAGCTAGTACCTTTTTCAACAGGGCTAGCTAGTACCTTTTTCAACAGGGCTAGCTAGTACCTTTTTCAACAGGGCTAGCTAGTACCTTTTTCAACAGGGCTAGCTAGTACCTTTTTCAACAGGGCTAGCTAGTACCTTTTTCAACAGGGCTAGCTAGTACCTTTTTCAACAGGGCTAGCTAGTACCTTTTTCAACTGGGCTAGCTAGTACCATTTTTATCAGTGCTACTTACAGTAGTAAATAAGTTAACGACCACCCAATTCTTTCATGACAAATTAATTATTGTGTTTTGAAGAAATGGGTGGTCCTTAATTTATTTTGAATAATATACTTCCTTAAACAGGGTATTTGTTTTTTAAAGTTCCCTACATGTTTCAAACATGAGCAACACATTCATAATAAGGGACCGTTCATAATTTATGGCTGGGGGGCGATGATTTTAAGAGGGGGCACCCATTTGTTCTCTGCAGAGGTGGGGGTCACCAATTTTGTACACATGTGCTAGGGGAGGGCGTTTACCAATTTTGTACACAAACATAAGAAGAAAAAAATATGATTATAAATTATGGGGGATTGATTTTGTACATGACATGCAAAGGGGATCACATATTTTGTACAAAATTTTAGGGGGGGTTGTACATGCCTCTCCATGAAAATCATCATCACCCCCTAGCCATAAATTATGAAAGGTCCCTAATTTGTTGATGCCATGTTCGCTGGTTATCATAATGACGACCATGTTATCTTGCCTGTAATCATTCATCTGATTGTACCTCCAATAGACATTCTTCCAATATCCTCATGTTGATTGTAGCCTCAATGATGCTGTATTATATTGTGTCAATATTTATATTACAACTGATGATGATGACGATGAGGATGATGATGAGCTCCTTTATATATTAAAAAAAGACGGGTCTCAAGCCAAACCCCCTCCATTTTGTCCACCTGTCAAAATCAAATGGTTGCTTCCTACTTGAACAGAGCTCCTACGATGGTGGCCAACAAGTGCAGCTGATACTCACAGGAAGTTGTGCAATACATTCTCGTGTCATGGCGGTCAATGGGAAATAATATCACCATTTGTATTCTGGATAATTTTCCATCATCATTATCAATTAAGATAATATTCTGTTCGTATTGTAGGATAGTTGTATACTACAAGACTTTACACAAGGATAAGCTGCTGTGTTAAGTTTTGTAACTGTATGAAATATTTCAGTACCCTATCAGAAGTTGAGAAGTATATATTTAGGATGACACGATTCACGAATACATCTGTACATCAATTATATTCCAATACAATAAACCACAAACAATTCAAGTTATAATTCTGTATTATGAAATAAGGACCCATTCATTCATGTGTAATGTATTTTATTTTGGATGCAGATCTAACATATTTGTTGAACAGACTTTACTGTTTTGTGATAATGTTTTCAAGTATCAGATGATGTACAATGTTATTGTGCCTATGTTCATCTTGAAGCACATCAAATGAGATTTGAACCCAAACAACATGTTGTGTTTAATTGCCTATATACTAACAACAACTTTATTTAATTTTGTGGCCATTTTGCCTTTGCAACATTACAAAATCTGGAAATATGTTTTCAAACTGTTCCAGTATAAAGGTTGAGTAGGCTAAATAGATTTGGCCTGATTTTAAACCACCTGAATGTCAGCTTTACTCCACCTACATAGTTATTATAGTTGCTATTTGATGGATCTGTCTTACAAACCAACGTGGGTTGGGCTCATTTTGCTGGACAATGCCTAATGGTTAGAGTGTTCGCTTGTCATGCTGAAGATGTGGGTTTGATTCCCCACAGGAGCACAATGAGTGAAGCCTATTTTGGGTATTCCCTGTCATGATATTGCTGGAATATTGCTAAACGTGGCATAAAACTAAACTCAATCACTGTCAAATACTAGTATATCATAACATGAAACATTATTGTACAGGAGCTATAGACATCAAAAACTTTAATCTCCCTGTTCAACAGAATGTGTCGACGTCAAAGTCATCTTACTCTCACTGTTCAAAAGAATGTAGTGAATGTATTTTTATTTGTTTTATAAATTGCAACCTATCAAAATTATTTATGGAGTTATTTCCCCTGGTTGAATGTTTTGTTGGCAACATAATATGCCTGTATGACCTTAGAGATTACAGTTGCCATAAAAACAAGGGATGTGTTCACGGACAATTAACACGTTGTACATACCGCACAAAAGTGTATATTGTGGTATTACAAATATCTCATTGTACATACTGAACAAGAATGTATTGTGGTATTGCAGACAAGTATCTCATTGTACGTACTGAACAAAAGATCGTGGTTTAACATTATATCAGTTTGTCAACTGTATATCTTACAGCTCCGGTGGGTCAGAATTGAATTTCTTATAGGACTATCATGTGTCAATAGGGACTCCCCTCCATTTATCATTGAACAAGATACAGTGTAATCTGATTAATGATCGTATACAGATGTTTTGTGTCTTCAATGAGATTACTTCTGGGTTTCCTGTTTTGCCACAGTAATCAGAGGGTAATAACGTTGCCTGAACAACTAAAATTTAGTCTCTGTGAGTCAAAGCTGATAACAAGATACAGATGAAGGATGTGACCTTGCTGTCTATGACACCAAAGTTTGCCATGGGAAGTAATATCCCTTACCGTGCAGGGCTGTCCCTTTGACATGGTGCTTGTCGTTAGAGGCAACTAGTGGGATTGGGTGGTCAGGCTCACTGACTCGGTTAACACATGTCATCGTATTCCAAGTGTGCTCATGCTGATGATCACTGGATTGTCTGGTCCAGACTGGATTATTTACAGACTGCCACCAGACAGCTGGAATATTGCTGAGTGTGGCATTCAACAACAACCAAACCCAACCCTTGACATGGAGAAGTATGTTCCTTTGTCATGCACAGTTATGTCCCTTTGCTACGCAGACTCAGAGATGCCAACCCTTACGCTTTAGGCGTAATTATTACGATTTTGACAAGTAAATTACGACATTACACTTAATCGGCAAAACTTACGCTTTTCTACTCGTTTTACGAAAATAAATAAAGTGGATAAAATTTCACAGGGAAATGTTTCGTAACGCACAGGTGCAGGGGTGCAGAAATGGCCTTCCACCGATAGGAATCGCTTACTCTAAGCATCGCACTCATTCCAATTAACTTGCAAGGAATTGAAGTATTTGAGTCACATGACCAACAATTTTTGATGTATGGAGCTTCATGATTGGTCACATGAGTTTCTGTCTGGAATCTTCCTTTCGTGAAAACGTGTACCATGTTGAAGCGATCGGCAGACAACTTTTTATTATACTTTTAGGTCCAATTTACACTTTTTGACCTCTAGTATTACACTTAGGCCCAAAATAGGGTTGGCATCTCTGCAGACTGTACACATTGTTTCTCATTGTATACATTGTGATCATCACAGTATACAGTGTAATAAATGCTCTATACACTGCATTCATCACACAATATGATTGTCTTTATATATATTGTGGTGATCACCGTATACAGTGTAATTAATGCTCTATACAATGCATTCATCACTATACACAATACGATTGTCTTTATATATATTTTGGTTGTTGCTGTGTACATTGTGATCATCGCAGTATACACTTATTATTACTGTATATTGTACTGTATATACACTTGGGTCATCACTGTATACATTGTGTATATCTGTATACAATTATATCACAGTGGCCAGTGTGTGCCCCAGGACGTGGAATCTCAGTTTGCTGTACATATACAAACATTGCTACACGATTTATATATATACTGAAACAGTAAGATCCAGTCAGGTTTTATTCCATATGTCTTTCATTACATATGCCTTGAAATGTTTATGCATCAGTGTTTATATACAGTGTAAGGAACATGCATGTTGCACTTCTCTGTTGTAGCAAACCACATCCTGTGGAAAGTATCATATTTTAAACAGCTCCTTAAAAAGTAAATAAGAAATATATAGTTTGTTTAGGACATTTTCAAATTCGTTGTGCTCTGATGTGCTTAGACAATGACAGATCTTACTATCAGTGTAGACTTGATTTGCATTCTCAGCGCATTATAGATTAAATGACACAAGCTGCCATTGAGGCACTAGAATGTTTATCATCTCATCCTACCAGGTACCCATTCAATGCTGGATGAATGAGGCATATTTCTAACTTGCGTAGGGGCAGTGGGGTAGCCTAGTTTTTGCTTGAAGCATTCACCTCACACCAAAGACCTGGGCTCGATGTGTGAAGCCCATTTCCGTTGTCCTCTGCCGTGATATTGCTGGAATATTGCTAAGAGCGGTGTAAACTAGACTCACTCACTCACTCTAACTTGCGTAGGTAGAACGTATACTTCATGTTACTCTATTCTCATGCAGTATTCAGGCCATATGCCCGGAGAGTGTGTTATTGTGACAGTTCCTTAGAATTCTGTTAAATTACGTGTTTGTATGGGACACTCCTATTCCTAAATACCCAAATGCCCTTAGACCAGGATGCAATTCACTTTTATGCAGTCAGTGGATCTGTGTGCACACGACTTGCATTCTCAGCTCCCTGGGAAGTGTACGACCAGTGCTGCCTGTGAGGAACTGGTAGGTTTACTGTCGTATTACCATGTCATCTTTCCAGGTATCCATTCACCAGTGGGCGAGTCACTTGCCAAGATAGAAAGCACACATGCTGCATGTGCTTTCATGTTGGGCACAAACTGTTTTGTTTGCCTTGGAGTGAAGTATTTCAAAACATGTTGGTAATGATTATTACATTGATAACAATGTATTGTTTGTATTTACCAATGTTTAGTTATTTGCTATCTTTACAACTGGCGAATCTTTGAGAAAATCACTTGTTGCTCAACAGCGCTAGTGAGAGTTTATTATGACTGCTGTACTTATGTGTTAACATTAAGCACTAACATTGTCTGAACTGTGAATACATTAGAATATATAACTATATACTGCCAACCTCGTATTAACCTGCTCGACATTATTTCCCAATTTACCATTGCACTAATTCTACAGTTATTGTTATATACATGTATGACTATAGAAGATTGTTGTGTAACAATGTACAAATATTTCTTATTGAGAGGAAATAAATGAATTTATCCATGCTACGATTGAAACTTAGTTGTCTGCTTATGTAACTCAGGAAATAACATTGCAAACACAAATGTAATATGTTCATTTGTTTCAAAGTAATTTTGGTCCCATTGCCAACGAGTTAATCATTCTCCCTCGCGTAAGACTTCACATTTATGGAAGCTACAGATTGCTGTGCAGAATTCCCACATTAGGCTGCTTATACTTCTCGGTTGTGTGTATCCAATGAAGCACCAGTAAAATGTCTATGTGGTCTTCAAGCATGACAGCTTTGCTATGTTGGAACCGGAAGTTTGGATGTGTTTGGCCCATTTCCGGCTTCCTCTCTCTGTAACTGCTTGATGGATTGGGCTGCTGAAACTAAGTGTCTGGAGGCTAGGATCAACAGGATATATTTTTCAGCCACAACCTTAAAAAGAAACATTTGATGAAGAGGAGCTGAACAATTTACTTCTTTTTTTTTGCCAAACAAATAAATAATGTCTTTCCAGAACATTGGTTTGACAGTGGGTCAGTTTGTTTTAATACCACTTGTATGTATTCAGTTAAATCACAGCTAATCAACTTGATGTGGTTGGAAAGTCCCGAAATGATGCAGAGGTTAAAAGTGAGTGAGTGAGTATAATTTTACGCCGCACTCGGCAGTATTCCAGCTATATAGCATCAGTCTGTAAATAATTGAGTCTGGACCAGACAATCCAGTGATCAAAAGCACGAGCATCCATCTACACAATTCGAATATGATAACCTGTGTCAACCAAGTAGGCAAGCCTGGTTGTCTGGTCAAATAAGTGAGTGAGTTTAGTTTTACGCCACACTCGGCAATATTCCAGCTATATGGCAGCAATCTGTAAATAATCGAATCTGGACCCGACAATCCAGTGATCAACATCATGACCATTGATCTATGCAACTGGAATACAATGACATGTGTCAAACAAGTCAGCGAGCTTGACCACCTGATCACGTTAGTCGCCTCTTATGACAAGCATGGGTTACTGAAGGCCAATATTCTAACCCGGACCATCACGGGTTGGTCGGCTATGATGTTGACGTACCCATCTTCCTGCCAACCAAGCCGATCGGCTATGATGTTGACGTACCCATCTTCCTGCCAACCAAGGTGATCGATATTCATGCTGTTGATCACTGGATTGTCTGGTCCAGACTCATTTATTTACAGACCGCTGCCATATAGCTGGAATATTGCTGAGTGAGGCGTTAAACAGACAATCCAGTGATCAACAGCATGAGCACCGATCTGCACAATTGGGAACCTATGACGTGTGTCAACCAAGTCAGAGAGCCTGACCACCTGATCCCGTTAGTCGCCTCTTACGACAAGCATGGGTTTCTGAAGATCAATTCTAACCCGGATCTTCATGGGATTGCCTGGACAAAGTTACAGGTCACGATGACCCAGCTGGAATATTTATACTGGACTGCAGCACAAAACCAATTGACAACAACACTACTGTTTGATAACCGATTTCTATTTATTATCTGCTACGACGGTGGTTTGGTTCACGTTAAATGAGGAAGCAGCCATTCCACCAGGCGCAATATGTACACAATGTTCCATGCTGGCACACCTCCTGATGGGACCATCAGGCAACAGTCTCAGGACGAAGCAAAACACACAACAGACAGTTACTAGGACAGGGCAGAAAATAAATGTAACACGATTCTGTCTTTTGAGAAAAATATGCCCAAGAAACATTTTGTTTTTAATGCAGCCCAAGAGAAACTCTTTGAGAAAAGTTTTGTTTGTGATAATTACATATTGAATGGATTAATGTTGATTAAATGCTCTTTGATTATCAGCAAGTACAGATGCACTGGTCAAGTTGTCATGTTCCACATCACCTAAAAGTAGCGGTGATACAGACATGAGAGTAAACATATTACTGAAGACAACGAGACCCATAAATAGGGATCCAAACATGACACTGATTTTGTCAAAAAAGAATAATAGTCACAACTAAATTTTTGGGGATTTTCTTAGATCTTAGGTGAAAGATTTAATAATTTTCATACCATTTCTGCTAAATACATGAGATGTCACAAAATGTATGTTAACTAATAATCAAGTTTTTATTCCGATAGGTTCAATGTAAAGTCTAGGGCAAGAAACGTTCTCTTTAATTGATGAGAGACAAATATACAGATGATGCCCATGTAGTTATCTGGCAGTGATTATCTTATAATGTTGAATTGTTGGTTTGTTGTTTAACGCCGGACTCAGCAATATTCCAGCTATATGGCGGCGGTCTGTAAAATAATCAAGTCTGGACCAGACAATCCAGTGATGACAACAAGCAGAACAACACTAACAAAATAACATGTTGGTTCCAGACCGTAACCATAACAACGGGTAACCCTTGACCCCATTCATATAGTATTAGATGATGGTTTCCCAACACCATTCTATCAAAGTACTAAATACTCATAACAAAGTTTAAAATGAACACATGAAACACAGATTTTTTTCTACGGCAAGAGCTACAACAGACATTCTCAAATTGTACTTTGAGATTTGAGATTCAAGATTCAAGATTCAAATGTAAGAATAATGACAATAAGTTATGACAGTTTTCCGTACAATGGTACTCACACAATTTGGCAGCACAGACACATTTAGCATGACTACTTAGAGAACGCAAAAGCATGTGTGACACAGCCCGTTACTGGAGTGGGGCAACAGAACAAACATTCTCGTTATTTTTAAATTCCACGGACATGTGATGTTAAGATCGCAAAATAATAACGCATATTGCAGCATCTATCTTTAACACACAAATACATGCACTATAGAATCTCAAAACATTTTCATATTTTTTTCCAACATACTATTACTTACTAAAAATAGAAACATGCTCTTTATCATTATAACGGAAGACAGTTTAATGCTGGAGCTACTTGGATATGTGAAAGCTTGGGTAAATACGTCCTGAAAATATTCATAATTACAACTTTGGTTTTGAATGAAACCACTTCGAGAATGGGTCCTACTGTATCATCAGATTATATGTTTTGGGACATGTGTTTGGACGGCAGTGTTTATTCAAATGATAATGAAACGTGTTGCGTTTCACAGACATTGAAAAATGCTTGAAATAATGAGCCTTGTTTTTTTACTAAAGTTTTCTTTCAAAAAGTAATGTGATGTTTTACAGTTGTTCATGTGATTAGAGGCAAAACAATGAATGTTTGTTAGGCGTCCGAAAACTCATAATACAAGGATACTTGTGACAGGAAAATATAGTTAACGTTTGGATAAAGAAACTCCAAAATCCTTAGTATAATCTGATACAAGTTTTTCACAATTACACAATTTTATGTTTGCAATATATCCTGTGCTACAGAAATCCATGCATGATGTAATATCGATAACATATACAATATGTCCAAATAAATGCTATGGTTCCACTTACATAACAAAACAATCTTTTTTCAACCAACATTATTCACAGTCTGTGTAAGTTCAAACATCCACTTGACCTAAAGATGGACTAGGTTCAAATCTGCATCCAATAACATTCAGTCATAATGTATTGAGGAGGAAAGTCCACATGATGCAGGCCACAGAAATTTAGAAATTTGGTGTTGACAGACCATGATCACAGTCATAGCTGATCCTAGCATATGAAAGGGAGGCAACCCATCCCACAACTTTCTCCTCTTCCATTACAAGCACTATCCTTAATAATTGGATTGAAATGCAGCAGAATTGATTGTCTCCATGCAAGAGTTAATACCTCTAAATTGAGGGTTCTGTGGTAGGTTGATATAGTTGTGTTAAGCCAAAGGGGAAAACAAAGATTGACTCTGTAACTGGAAGTATCTCTTAATGGACCTCCCATGTTCAGTACCTGTTTGGACAGTTATAAGATGCACACACCAAATGAGAGAAGCAATTTTGGAAGTTAAATTTGAGTGTATATCAACAACGACGACAACATGAAATTAGTAAGTGCCTACACTTGACAAAAATAAAGGACAAACTTGTTGTCACGGTGACATAGATATTGAATTTTGATGATGCAAAAGGAACCACCACATTTGTTTGAGGCCGCGGTCGCCGTCACAATTCAGTCTTGAGCTAGACACTGTAGCTGCCGGTGCTGTTGCCCTCACTCTCTCGTTCGGGAATAACTGTTAACTGCTGCTTCCGGCTTGTCCTCGAACCTGCGCTGTCTTCGGATTCAAAAACATCATCAACATACTCATTGAGTAATCGTCTCTTTGGCCGATAGAGCCAGGGCATTTTCTGATGACGAGACGACTGAAACGACGATGCAGCCTGTTCAGACGTAGATCGTGAGTTGCTAGGCAGCGGCAGCTGGCGGATCTGTCGTATCACCACATACCCACTGTCAGTGTCATCTGAAACCGAGGGATAGACAGCATAACATTGTTGCTTGAGCTGTTAGAGAGCTAGACAGAATGTCTGAATGGTGCTTGATTGTGTAGTAAAGGAGATCTAGTAAGGAACACCAGCAGACAGTACTAAAGACACCTTACAAATGTAGTAAAGGGCACCTTCAGAAAGTATTGAGGGGCACATTTAACATGTAGTAAAGAGCACCTGCAGGATGTAGTGAGGGTACATTTAGCATCTACTGATCTAGTAAAGAGCACTGCAGAAAGTATTGAGAGGGGTATCACACTGTACCGGTGTCCAGTTGACTTTCCAATATTAATTATGTTGTTTATTTAAAAAATCAACAAGAAAACGGACGGTATAGTGGAACAATTATCAGGGCAAGTGATTTTACATGTGCCACTGTTCCAGAGTACACTAGCAATTTTAAAGTTATTTCCACCCGTTTAGCATCTAGTAATGAGCACCTGCAGAAAGTAGTGAGGGCACATTTAGCATGTAGTAAAGATCACCTGCAGAATGTAGTGTAGGGCACATTTAGCATGTAGTAAAGATCACCTGCATAACGTTGTGTGGGGCACATCTAACATGTAGTAAAGAGCACCTGCAGAATGTAGTATGGGGCACATCTAACATAGTAAAGAGCACCTGCAGAATGTAGTGTGGGGCACATCTAACGTAGTAAAGAGCACCTGCAGAATGTAGTGTGGGGCACATCTAACGTAGTCTAAGATCACCTGCATAACGTTGTGTGGGGCACATCTAACGTAGTAAAGAGGACCTGCACAATGTAGTGTGGGGCACATCTAACGTTAGTAAAGAGGACCTGCAGAATGTAGTATGGGGCACATCTAACGTAGTCTAAGATCACCTGCATAACGTTGTGTGGGGCACATCTAACGTAGTAAAGAGGACCTGCAGAATGTAGTGTGGGGCACATCTAACGTAGTAAAGAGCACCTGCAGAATGTAGTATGGGGCACATCTAACGTAGTAAAGAGCACCTGCAGAATGTAGTGTGGGGCACATCTAACGTAGTAAAGAGCACCTGCAGAATGTAGTATGGGGCACATCTAACGTAGTAAAGAGCACCTGCAGAATGTAGTGTGGGGCACATCTAACGTAGTAAAGAGCACCTGCAGAATGTAGTGTGGGGCACATCTAACGTAGAGTAAAGAGCACCTGCAGAATGTAGTATGGGGCACATCTAACGTAGTAAAGAGCACCTGCACAATGTAGTGTGGGGCACATCTAACGTAGTAAAGAGCACCTGCAGAATGTAGTGTGGGGCACATCTAACGTAGTAAAGAGGACCTGCAGAATGTAGTGTGGGGCACATCTAACATAGTAAAGAGGACCTGCAGAATGTAGTATGGGGCACATCTAACGTAGTCTAAGATCACCTGCATAACGTTGTGTGGGGCACATCTAACGTAGTAAAAAGGGCCTGCAGAATGTAGTGTGGGGCACATTTAGCATCTAGTAAAGAGCACCTGCAGAATGTAGTGAGGGTACATTTAACATGTAGTAAAGAGCACCTGCAGGATGTAGTGAGGGCACATTTAACATGTAGTAAAGAGCACCTGCAGGATGTAGTGAGGGTACATTTAACATGTAGTAAAGAGCACCTTCAGATAGTAAGGGGCACATTGAAAATGCATAAAGAGCACCTGCAGAATGTTGTGAGGGGCACACTTAACATAGTAAAGAGCACCTGCAGAAAATAGTATGGAATACCTGCAAAATGTAATAGAGAGCACCTGCAGAATGTTGTGAGGGGCACACTTAACAATGTAATAGAGAGCACCTGCAGAAACTAATCCACAAGTATAATTCCTGTTTGACTAACGCCTCTACCACTTGTCAACACTTCATTTTAAGTCCAACTCCATACAGTTATACAGTTCATACATAAATACAAACATATTAGCACTACCGACTAATTTATAAATTAAATGTTCATATATATCCCTCATGATTTCATCATAAATACCCTCACTTGCATCATATCTATAAATATCGCCACACCCTGATCTCTCAATGCAGTTTGTCAGATTAATTCAGGGTCATCGACTGTTGACCTAGAATTTCAAGTGAGGGCCATTTCCTGTGGCCCTATTATGCTCGTTTCCGTTGAGTCTCACACCCTTTTCAAACAGCTCTTCACATCGGATCAATTTGCATCTGATCAATGAAAATTGTTTTGATCACTGTCATAATTTTAAGACAGACTACACAAAAAGTAAAAACTCTTTCACATTTTAAAAACTACCTCTCATCTCATGATAAATCAACTATGGTAACATGAAAGAATCAGATAAACTTTCTTTCAGTAATATAAGCAATGATTAATCAAAACCAAAATGTCTCAAGAGTGAAAGCTGCAGTTTGATATTGATATGGCCACTAGAATACATTGTAATTACAGAATGGACTACTCAACAATGCTTTTAAAGACAAAGATTTAGAATATTCTGAGAATAAGACATTATAAAATGTTGTCATATTTGTTTTTCATTTGAAGTTTTGACCAATTCTGGCAAAAATATATTCTCAATGCGAACATTTTCATTGCCAAATTTTTCGACGTAACAAGACATGGGGACTTCGTCGTATTTGCCAGATTAAGACTGCGATTCACACGCCTCAAACATTCTCTGCTTGCTAATATTTAGTTTCACTGAGCAGCTGTCAAGTGCAGATTCTACACAACATCCACATTTATAAGAATATTAAAACATTGCTCACGAGTGACAATTTTAGAAACAAAAGAGAATTATGAAGACTCATGTTTTTGTAAAGTTAATCAAATGTTATTGTGCTGTGATATTAGATTAAAGAAGTCATGACTGTTAACTGAATCTGATGTGCAATTCTAATAACATACTGACCTCCAATTTACGTGAATATATACCAGAGAAAGAAGCAAATTAGGATTTTTCATCAAATGTATAAATGTATGCCTACTACTTATGACACAAATGTTATTTTGGACCACTTTCTAACTGACATTGTGTATTCATACTAGTGGTGTTCAGATTAATTGAAATCTTCAAAGATTGGTCGCAGTGGCCAAACCACCAAGCAATCGATCACATTTTCTCATAATCGAACACAAACGATTTTGGAACCGCTGTAATAGAGTTTAAAATACTTGATGATGGAACATATTTAGGACGTTGTCCGTGTTTAATTCTTAGAAAACTCACTTCACTTTCTGGAAAGTCATGACTGAATATTTCTTGAAGAATCTGGAAAGTTTATGTTACAATGGAACTGAATCATTTTACACTGGATGTGAAATTTGCAAATGTAATTTGTGCAGTTTCTAAATAAAACAAAAAAACAACAACAGAGAACCAAATGTTTTTTTCTTCATACTTATCTGCAACTACAACCTGAATAGGAAAGTCTAAAAAATAACGCTAACCAATTTTTTTCGATGATTGGTCGTTGGTATTGAACCAATCATCAATTGTGAGATTTCAACCAATTCCCAACACTAATTCATACTATTGTATTAATAACTGTGATGATTGTTAAAGATTCTCTTAAATGTAAATTGGCTCTTTATAGCATATTAAGGGGTCTACTACTCTGTCAATTATATCTAATAACATCTTTGTAACCAGTGACTTGGCCAATGGGATACATCAACTACACTACTGTATTAGGAGCACAAATATGAAATAAGGATGGAGTGGTTGCAGGGGTGGAAATAACTTTAAAATTGCTAGTGTACTCCGGTACAGTGGCACATGTAAAATCACTTGCCCTGATAATTTTTCCACTATACCGGCCGTTTTCTTGTTGATTTTTTAAATAAACCACATAATATATATTGGAAAGTCAACTGGACACCGGTACAGTGTGATATACAAATTTGCTTGCCCGGCACAAAAAAACACTGGACTCGTGCATCGGGCAATGGGTTATTTCCACCCCTGGGTTGGGAAATCAGAACGAAGAAACAAGCCCCCTACCTTAGTACCTAAATATTATTTATTCAGTAAATTCATGATAAATCAAATAAATTAAAGTGACTTTATGAAAAAATAAATAATTCATTATTACTTCATGTCAAGTATTAAACATTAAATAATGACACAATCATATAATGATCTAATAATTAATATAATAATCTTGATCAGTTTGTCATTCAGTATAAACACGATAAATATATTTTAAAATAAGTTATTACAACTGACCTACTGAGTCGTGCAGTACAGTATGGGACAAAGATGTGTTCCACTAGTCTAGTTTCAACACAACACTATAGAGATATTCAAGACATGTATGTTTAACTTGTGTCAACTTGTGCTCTCAAAGAGTTGTGTTATAATCAAAACGGAGACATGTACAAAGGGTGTTAGATTGCAGACAAACAGCGTGCTGCCTTCACTTCACTCAATAACAGGAAGCTGCTCCTGAAGAGATTTACCCTCACCAGATTTTTCATCAACTGTGTAACAAACCGAAGCTGACAAACAAACCCAGCTCAGGCCCTCTAAACCAATGCAAGCTCCCAGTCAAGAACAACATGCTCGGTGAGCAACTATTTGCCAAGACCTGCCCACACAGAAACAACCAGAGAGAAAATCTTTTGTTGAAGCACCAGAACCCTTCCGTGCTTTGTTTTAATTCCCTTTGTTGCGATTTGCATCTAGATTTGGACAAAGAATGGCCCCATTTCAGTGAATGTATCAGCAAGCAAGGTTGGGGGGTACATTCCTTTCAAAGTCACGACAGTGCTGACATTCTGCTGGCTACCTGTAATTAACTGGTCAGTCAAATGTCCCAGGTGAATAATTTATTGTGAAATTCAGACTTAAATTGTTAGCGTGGGTTTGAGCACTGTTTGAAAGTCACAGATATAAAATCAATGTTTGAAACACATTTCAATTTTACGAATCTCAGGTTTGTTAAAAGGGTTTATAAATGATATTTTCAGATTGTTGGCACCCATTCAAATGATATATCCAGAAACCTTGTAGGCGTTCTTCCTTCCGCAAAATTAATCTCTACATCAGCATTTTGAATGTAGCATGCAACATATTTTGAAATGGAATCAAGCATACTACCGAAATGAGAGTTTCCAACAATAACTCAGGGAATCCTGGTATCCAAGATGTTTGCTGCGAGTGTGTTGGAATCTAAGGTCCCTAAATCGTCAACTATTAACACTGGTGACGTGACAAGCACCCTTGATGTTTATGAACACTTTGAACACAATAAGAACAGTATTGACAACAATGTGTTGCAAGTTCTAAATAAACACCAGATTAAAATGGAAGGAATAATATGATAAAAAATGTTATATTATAAAATAATTTGGCACAACTGATGTGTTTCAATAGAAAATAGTGGAAAGGACCCTCCATTAAGAGTGGTGAGTGAGTTTGGTTTTACGCCGCTTTTAGCAATATTCCAGCAATATCACAGCAGGGGATACCAGGAATGGGCTTCACGCATTGTACCCATGTGGAGAATCGAACACGGGTCTTTGGCATGATGAGCGAACCCTTTAACCACTAGGCTACCGAACAGCCACACACACACACACACCCACACCCCAAATCAAGAAAGAAAATGTAAACTAAAATATTACATACTGAAATAATGATATTGTGTAAAGTCAACTAAAACACAATTTATATAAAAGTTTCAAACACTAATTTATATCCAAAGTATAAGACCTCGAAAACAATTCTTATTCTCAAAGTATGAGACCTCAAAAATATTTCTTTATTCCCAAGGCATGAAAACTGCACTGAAAATTAATGTTATCCCTTTAAGAAGTTGCATGAATTCCGACAATGTAGCAGTGAGATTATTGTTTTGTTGAAGCAGGATTACCTACCAGCTACAGGAAGCAAGGATCAGTGGGTTTGTGTACAGGCCCTGGGGGCCATCGCTTACAAGTCAGCTTCCTTTACAAACCTGCTCCGTGGAACGCAACCCCGTTACTTCAACGGTTACTGAAGCTATTGTCACAGTTACCTCATGAATAAAGAAGTAAAGTTTTCTTGTAATGTTTTAATTCCTGATGTATCGGATGACGTGAGTCATCTCGGATCAGTGTGAATGGAATTCTCCAGTTTAAGAAACCGGTATTGTGAGCTGTTTATCCTGCAGACATTGTGTCAAGACACTCAAGTATGCAAGGGACCCACACAAGAACATTCAGGATAATGTGTGGTGTAAATCAACTTGACATTAATATGATTAAATTATGTCACAGGTCATATTATCATGATTATTAAACAGGTAGTTAACAAAAGCAAAATTCTTCATGCCAGAACAGTATCAAAGTTGCTTGCAGCTTATATCTGTCTTGAAACTGTTATTATGCTCAAACACTGAGGTAGACGTAGGTGTGTGTGTGTGTGTGTGTTGATTTTAAGGTGGGGTCCACCAATTTTGTTCTGGGGAACTAGGGGGGTCACCAATTTGTACACTCGTACTAGCGGGTGGGGTGTGTGTGTGTGTTTGGTGGTGGGTTCCCCCCAGCAATTTTGTACATAAAAATGTTTAAATTTATGCTTAGAAATTATGGGAAGGGGGCATTGATTTTGTAGATGATATGGAGGGGGGTCAATTATCTTGTACATAAATTGGGGGGATTAATATTGTACATGCTTCTCAAAAAAACTCACCATCATACCCCCTCCCACACCCACAATAGAAAGGAGGTACACTGGATAAACAAACATGGAGTAAGAGCAATAGATTTTCATAGCCTCTTTGCAATCAACCAATTCAAAACGCCTGACCACCCAATCCACTTTGTCGTCACCACTAGTGGTGGTCCGATTAATTGAAATAATCGAAGATTGGTCGCAGTGACCAAACGACCAAGCAATCGATCACATTTTGTCATAATCGAACATAAATGATTTTGGAACTACTGTTTTAGTCTTTGAAATACTTGACAATGGAACACATCTTAGAAGTTGTCAGGGCCTGAAAACATGTTTATTTCTTAGAAAACTCACTCCACTAAGTGAAAAGTCATGACTAAATATTTCTCTAAGACTCCAGGAAGTTTATGTTCATGATATATTAGTCATCACTTTAATGTAGCAAGTAGCAACATGTTATACTTTTCTGCAGTAACAACCTGGATAGGAAAATCTGAAAAAATGACGCTAACCAATTTTTTTTGATGATTGTTCGTTGGTAATGAAGCAATCATCAATTGTGAGATTTCAACCAATTCCCAACACTAGTCACCACCACAGTTTGCTGGTGGGGACAACTTTCCCCACTGGGACATTATGAAGTAAAGGGAACCCAGCTAAAGGATTTATAGCCATTTATAACATATCAATCCAAGTTGTTGAGATTCTAACATTCCCTTTATACCATCCCTCCAATTCTGTCATACAGACCCTGAAACAAATACACCCAATACAGCCCATACAAGTCTAGAAAATGGGGCAAGTCTAGATTACCAATTGAAAATGAAGTCTCCGGTCCCCTTTTTATTATATCTTCTGAATATACTTTAGGCATCTTTTTATTCTGTACTATATGTTCATTTCAAAGACTAGATGTTAGTCTAAATCAGTCCCTATAAACATCTGGATCACAACCTACCATAGTCATCCTCTTCTGGCCGTTTTAAAGCCGCTGTTTCGTGTAACTTTCGACATGCACACAGTACTATAATGGTTGCCACGACAATCAACGCACACAACACGCCGATGAGGGCAAACGCCAGGTTCCTCCAGTATTCCCCCTCGTCCTTCGTTATAGCAGGTATTTCCTTGATGGTAATGTCATGACCCGGGTCTGAAGCACCTTCTTCTCCTTCCCCCGTTGTATACTGCACTGTATCAATCTGATTGAAGTTTCGGAATTCTGAGAACGACTTGCACTGAACGTCTCGAGTCTCTGTGCACGGCTCCTTAATGATCTTGTTCTGCGGACATTTGGAACATTGCTCGCAGACTTGAGTTTCTTCATTGAAGAACTCCAGCCCTCTCCTGCACCTCCCTGTTGCCAGGGATACGGTGCAAAGTGTCAGTGCCAGGTACACAAACATCCCCATCCTGTACCACATATCACTGACAGATCAGCCGCACCCTGAAACATGGACAACCGCCGTTAGACACAGTTCATTCAGGATGGGAAAGCCACATTAACTTGGTGCGCCTAAATGGCTGCAAGAGTTGTATGATCTCCAGGGAGTTGAGATTGAAAAATGTGCTGATGAGATTGACATCCTATGATCGAGGGAAAAATTAAGCACTTTTGAGCAGCTGAGATGGATATTGGCGCTATACAAATATCATACAATAAATGATAATAATAATAATAACTTCTTGCAACTAGCATGATGAGACTTCCATAATTCATCTTTGCTCTAAACACTGAAACAAAGACAAATATCACTAGAGAGATCATGCTCAATGCTAGCACCAAGAGACTTCTCCACATTATCTTTGCTTCAAACCTTAAGACAAATATAGTGTATCGTTTATCAATGCATGTGCAACTTCTCCACCTAGTAATATCAGAAAACTTAGTCTGATGGTATAATATCCTAAGTTCTGGTATTCATCATAATATATTTGAATTGGGGATAAGAGTTCCTCCCGTTCCCCCATCCTAAATAATGTTTATAAATATACTAAAATTGTTAACAAAACATTCCACAACAATCACTAGAGAACTCACAAGATGACTCACAAGATCAAAATTTAAGTTAGGGTTAGGTTTAGGGTTGGGGAACGGGTGGAACTCTTTCTGAATTGGGACAATACATTTCATCAGAACAGAAATCTTTCTGGCATTGTGTATTTCAGAAATCTTTCATTTCTTTCTCTTAACATTGGAATCAGGATCAGTGGTGTGGAAATATAATATTCATAGGTACATAGTTTCCTGGGAAAAGATATCCAGATTAAATCATGTATGTTAGAGGCAGATACTTTCTGCTAATTGGAAGCAGGATTTACAAAATATTTTGTCCTGCTGCAAACTTTTACACGGACTGAATTTTCAGACGTACCTTTTCCATCATTAGACACCATGGACATGGGTCACGTGATGGAGCGTCTGTGAACTAATGGCTTGACCACATCGCAATACAATTAATAAGGTCTCTCGCGGAATTTGGTGAGTGCTAGATATATAATTCTCATGTGATAAATCTGAGCGAGGCTGCATGGTTTGTCTATGAACAAAATAAGATCGAACATGTGCAAAAATAAACTAACATGTTGATAATTTACCTTTTATGGACAAGGCCAAAAAACAAAATACACTCGCTTCAAAAAGCTCATTCATAGCTGTGTATATGTACACCACTCACCAGACAACTATTTCGTCCCTAGAAATAGCATAAAACCATTCGTACTCAAGTACATTTCGAAAACAGCTCAGCGGTAGGGTCCGGAAGCTGGCTGGTGGATTAGGAAAGTTAAAAACATCGCAAAGTTGTCAGTTTTGTTTTCGCTGTCCAAGAGCATTTGTCGTTGTAAATTCCATTCCTGTGTATATATACGCATACAAGTTATACTTATATACTCACCCATGGACCTCAAAAGGGCCCGATCTGGAAAATAATCCCGTGAACGCTTCAGAAGACTTGACGTACATGGGATTTCATCTCTCCCTTTTGTCACACATGGCTCTCTCCCAGAATTCCCTGATGTCACGTGACGGGCACCGTGCATGAATCGCTTCAGGACGATTACTTCCCTTGATTTACTGAGAACGATGTTTAATTTGTTCGTTGCACAACTTATTAACTTGTTCTTACAATATCTTTATCACTTACATCAGACACTTTAAATATGTATACATATGTTACTAGATGGGTTTAATAGCGAGTTTTTATCTAAATCATATTTAATAAACAAATACACTCTCCAAGGAAGTAGACTTTTATACCATTGGATAAAACGAAAGATAACGTACTACACTGAATCTATGAACAGAAAAGAAATTAACGATATATATGTTGGGAAGATTCAGTTGTATATATTCTACGAGTCTACATTGCATAAACTAATTACAAATTATGTCCTGGATTTAATTATCCCCTCTACACCATTAAAACTGACACTTGAATGCTTTGTTCAGGGGTAAATCAAGTTGAACGAATAGCAATTAAGACGTTTACGAACCCTCACACAGGTGATATACTTGAGTACACAGTAATAAACCAGGGGAAACAATGACGCGTCAATTAACACTTGACTTAGCAGCACCTTATGCAAATTGATTTTCTTTTGTTCAGTTAATTGCCTGATGAATTACCAAGTCATTAGAACACATCCACTCATGCTGACATGCTAATTGCAAAGTTCAACCACTTAAACCAGGTGAGTTAATTTATTACCTGTCGTGTAATCACAATGGCGACTTATATTGAGATCACAATAGAGCACATTAAGACAAACTACAACAGTGCACTATACCAGCAGCTGTTGTGTTTTAAATAGGTCAACTGAGTGTACAGTGGATATACATGACTGTTTACGCTATAGAAATAATTTCCACTAATAATAACAGAACCTCACTTTTCCTACTTAGGTGATAATTATCAAGAGATTCGGTTGTTGGATATGATGCGTGGATATCGTAGTTGTAGACGATGATTTCGAAAAAACTGTTTAAAGCTTTCCTTCAAATTAAGCTGTCAACACAATCTGAGTGTTATGTCATAAATAGGTCAACTCCGTGGACAAACGAATTAATATACGTTGATTTCGTTATAGCCATAACTATTTTTTCCAGTCGTCAGAGCATCACGTTTATTACTTAGGTGATAATTATCAAGAGATTTAAACTTTTCTTCAAATTAATTGATGTTAAAAAGAAATTGAAATGTTTTGCATGAACCTGATCGGAGTCCGTTTCACTGATACCGTTTAGAAGTGTCATTCCCATATTAATAATTCTTGTCGCAAAGACAAACACACATCTAAAGGTGACAATAATAATGAGTGAGTATGGTTTTACGCCGCTTTTAGCAATATTCCAGCAATATCACGGCGGGGAGCACCAGAAATGGGCTTCACACATTGTACCCATGTGGGGAATCGAACCCTGGTCGTGTGCGTGACGAGCGAACGCTTTAACCACTAGGCTACCCCACCACCACAATAATCAGAAAGATGGGTAAATTTACTTTGTATTGGAATTCTATTCACTGATGATTTGTGACGTCACGCCTTGAACCAGTGAAGACCCGGGTTACAACTGATATTCAGCGATCCAAGCTTGTCCGAAGAGACGACTAATAGGATCGGGTGGTCAGGCTTGCCAACTTGGATCGCACATGTCAACGTATCCCGTAGGTCGATGCTCACGATGTTGAGATCTCAGGATTGACTGATCCCGATTCGATTATTTGCAGACCATTGTCTTATAGCTGGGATATTGCTCAGTGCCGCGTTTAACAACCAACATATATATATTAGGCTGGATTTACACTACGTCCGATTTTCTCTGCGTTGCGTCATGCGTTGCGTCCGAAACAACGCAAGCAGTACATTTTCCATTTAGACAATACACTAGGTGCGAATTTTGCATGCGTTGCGATCCGAAGCGATTTAGATAGGTAGGCCTCCCATTTTTGACGCAACGCAAATGAACTCGCATGAGGAATTCCCCTGATGACGTCATTCCAATAAGGTATTTCCCCAACACGTTGACAATCAGGTAAGGTTCTTTCCTCATCTTTCGATAAAAATACTCGATTCCAATTGCAGACAGGTTGTGTTTTTGATGAGATGTTATTTATAATGTGTTTCTGCGCCTGTCTGTGCTTAACATACACAATAATATGACAAACCTTTGATAAATTTCGTTCTCAGAACAAGCTACTTCAAGATGCTTCTAAAAGTCTTATGAAAAATAAAATTGCACAGATATTTCATGAGGCTCAAGTTGGTTCACGTCAACAGAACCCTCAGAACTATGTTCCCCAGGGAAGTCAGTACTGCTCAAATTCTATATATGTGGAATTTGTAATGCCTGAGTGTATGAGAGAACAATGTTGGTATGAAAGTAAATATTTTCTACATAAGTTTAGTTCAGTATTTCGAAAACACATAAAAGATTGATGTTATTTAATTCCCTAATAATTCCCTTATAAGACGATTATAGGCTCCTTCAAGTAATCTTTGTTGGTTTAGGGATGTACCCACCATCTCCGTGTTTTGTTCTCTTCCTCGTGCACAGAAACTGCTAGGGATTTTTCCTCCATCTGATATTCATCCGTCTTATATCGCAGATGATCGCACCTAGTGTATTGGAAAAAACGCACTCGGTAACGCATGCGTCAAAAAATGCGGACGTAGTGTAAATCCAGCCTTACGCCTTGACAACGCGAGACGCGAATTACTCATGCAGTGCAACGCTGCGGATCTTCACACGAGGCCGTAGCAATAGGATTTTACAAGCGCACCTTTCACTTCCTAATGTGCACACGTTTTCTTGAGCATATTCTGAGGTATCACCAAGATTTTTAACCACAGATGTTACTCTCTCACGGTAAACCAATTGAACAAAACAAATAACTAAATTAACAACAAATCTTTCCTTTAAGAAAAAAATAGCGACTGAACACGCTTTTGAGCATTACTGCATGTATATACTGTTCAGCTTTTGACAGGGGTAATCAGAAATGTTACTCTATTTGAACAAACACTTCGCACTTTACAAGAATCATTTTCGTGTCTCAAGCAAAAATAAAACATGAACCCATCAAAAGCCAGACTTATTTAAATGAAGTTCCCAATTGAATCTGAAACCAACCGACAGTCACTGGGGACCTTGGTCCAAGCCTCATAAATCAGACCCCCCTTTCTCTTTGATTGAGTGACATGAACTTTGACCTTGACAAGTCATGATTTGTCCCATCATAGATTATCTGTGTGTATGTCTTTGTCTACACCGAAATAAATCAATATCTGTGAAATACCCACTTCTGCTTCTTCTTTTGTCACGTGACTAATCAGTGGAGTGGAAATACAGTAATCCCACCACCGGTGTAGAAGGTGGAGGTGTAAAACGTCCTCCACGACAGAAACGACATCGTCACCATCTGCATCATGCAGGCCAGACATTTCTTTATACGAGTTTGGGAACACGTTGAAATCTGACGGTACACAGTCCGTGAAATGTCATACCCCCTACATTGTTGAAATGGAAGTTTTGACTGAAAACATGTCACACTCTCGCCTTTTAATTTGGACTGAACAATTCAGTATCATAATTGTCATGTCACGTTGTTAATAGTCAGGGGTTACAAGGTGGCAAATTATTGGCATGAGAAATGCAGGAGTCTACCTAAACAAATTGGACATTAAGATGGGCGCAACCGTTCCTCCATTTCAAGACTCTTGAACAAAGACAGGGCCACCAATGATGTTAAAGATCTTCCTGACCTGGCAGACCCCGTAAGACAACAATAAGAGAGGATAGAGCATAGGCGTAGGAACCGGTGTGTGTGTGTTGCCCTCGAGAAAGTGGGGTGGCAATGCCCCCCAAGTTTAGAAGCACAATGAAGTAAGTTCCTTAATTTGCGAATATATATGAGAACAATATAAGCTTGTTTATTTGTGAGGATCGTCAATAATTGGATATATCTCCAGTTCGTTTGTTTCCAATGCTTTGATTTTGAACAAAGATTGGAAGCAGAAAGTGCTGTGTCCTTCGAGACAAAACAGAATGACATCGAAACAGTATGTTCGCTATACATCATTTATGATGTCATGAGTGCCTTGATAAGATACCATACTGTATCTATAACACACTGGCACGTCGTGGATTACCTCTCTCTGACTGCCGAGGACAAGGTTACGATGGAGCTAGGAACCTCTCTGGACACATCCGTGGAGTTGCTGCCCAACTCCACCGTGATGAACCAAGGGCACTTCATGTCCATTGTCCAGCCCATTTGCCTTAACCTTGAAGCAGGGAGAGCCTACAAGCCTTTAAGGGATGCTCTTGATGTAACGATGGAGATTACAAAATTAATCAAATATTCTCCAAAACGAGAACATCTCTCAGAATGTCCAAAAAGCCCATGCTCTGGAAAAGTCTGTTCTGGAAAACTATGATGTTCTTCAATGATCATTAAGTGAAATTAACACGCAGGGGCATGACGAGTATGCAAGAATTGCAGGTGGTCTGATGGCAGACAACTTGAACAGTTCAGTACATACTTTGAACTAAAAGTTGCCTCTCAGATGTTTGCTGCGTCTGAACAACTATCAGCCTCCATTCAGACTGTACACACAATTGCTCAGGATGCAAAACAAGCTGCTCAGCAAGTACTGAACTAAGACAGGACCCCCTTGGCAATTTGACCAAATTTGCTGGGTCATTTTGTAGCGGGGGCAATTCGACTGGCAATCGGACTTGATTTAATTTATGTTAAAAATACCACTGTCAGTAAGTTGTTACAGGGAATGATCGAGTATAATTAATGAATCTCGTGGGTACTTTTTCCTTCTTCAGCCTAGCTTGGGGATTTCCATACCCCATGCGTGCATGTCTCTTTCATATGCGTCCGACTCGGAATAATCGGCGCATTTCTCCTGCCGAAATCTGTCATTTCACTTGGAAAACGGAAAAAATAGTGGTTCTTTCCCATGTTCAATGATGCCGTGCATCCCCAGGCAACGCAATACACCAT